TACTCAAAATAGGGGTACCTTTGTATGGGGGCTACCAGTAAACGTGGACCTACATACATAAAATTTTGCATGGACATTTTGTACCCAAAAAGAGCACTCTGTGCCAAATTACAGCCAATTTGGTTGTAAAATGTGTCTAATAAACAAAAAATACCTTAAATCGGGAGATATGGTTATATGGGGGCTATATCAAAACTTGGACCCAGGGTCCCCATGTTGGATTTCTATATTTGCTTTGACATTAGAAACATGTGTGCAAAGTTTTGGCCGCCTATGTTAAGTGGTTCGGCAGTTAATGAGTTTACACCCAATTTTTGGGTAAAAACTCGGGTATTTACCCAAGTATTTACCCACGTCTTTAAAGTATCGTAAAACTATCCATTCTAAATCGATTTGATAACAGAAATCCGGAAATAGGGTGTAAGATGTTGTATTACCGAGTCAATATAGTAAATACCCAAATAAATACCCGCAAATGGGTATTTACCCGGTATTTACCCACCCCTTGGGTATTTACCCGGTAAATACCCGGTAAATACCATCTCTAAGTATGCTGCAGCACAGTGCGCTATCCACAATTTCATCTCGCTAGGAAAAACCTTTACTATTTCGTGCACAAATTACATGAACACAGACGAAAATATATAGGGTTTTTTTTACATTTGAATATATTTTACAAAATCTAATACGCGTTATGGTAGTTCCCTTTTGATGCGTTTTGCCGAAATTAGCAATTTATATGAAATCGGATGAAAATCTGAAACAATTTCAAAAAATAAATAAATAAAATAAAACTCCAACAATCCAATATGCTAAATATAACATCGTGCAAATTTAAAATAATATATGGTGCACCACTAACATAAAATCGGACCAAATTATTTAAGGGAGCTATATCCAAATCTGTATCGATTTTAAAGCAACTTCACAGGCATCAAACTGGACATAATTCTGTTCGCTATGCAAAATTTGGTCTGAATCGGACCAATATTGAAACTATATAAGGCAGTTATATCTAAATCTAAACCGATTTTCTCTTCGTCCTTGGGTCAAATAAGTGACTTGTGCCAAATTTCATCCAAATCCACCTGCTCTACAGATATAGCTTCCATATAGTTTCGTCCGATTTTTGGTAAATGGTGCACTAAACTCCCAATATTTGTCCGAATGAATTATGTCCAGTTTGATGCCAGTGATGTTTTGTTAAAATCGATACAGATTTGGATATAGCTCCCGTAAATAATTTGGTGTGTCCGGTTGATGTGGGCATATCTATGTAGATTACACATTTAGTATCGCCCGATTCCATTTCAATGGTCCTCGGAAGATTACATGGGCAGTTCGAAAACTTCTTAGCCTAGCACAAAAAGCGGGGTATAAACAGAAGAAAGTTAAGTGTTTTGGAAACATCCATCTCTGTTATGAACACATGTTAAATTTCGATCTGGCAACTCCTTCATATAGAAACAGGTGTTCAAAAAAAGACACATCAGCAACTATTATCTTTCATTGATAGGCTAAGAAGTTTCCGAACCGCACTCGTATATTAGCATGGCTTGTATGTATCCAAAATGGCCAAATGGCTTGTATGTATCAAAAAAAAAAAAAAAAAACACTTTTTTAATAAAAACCAATACGGAAATTTTTAATAAAAAAGTGCTTTTCTTAGTTCCTTCAGATTTTAAAGACTAGGATTCACGCTTGTTTTTATGTATGGTGTTCACAATTATCCACCCCTGTAACATTTAGTTTATACAATTTGTAAAGCAAATTTTAAAATTAGAGGGGTAGAAAAAAGTTTCGTCCTAATTCTTTTTTGAGTTGTGAAAAGGGTGTTCTTCAGCGTATAAAAAAATCAGCTGCGGAGGCTTGCCACCTTATAAAAAATTTTGACATATTCATGAAATGGTTAGAAATGAAGGTCCATGTATACAATTAAAGCTATTATTAAGGGCTAAAAAGGAAGGAAGGATAATGATGGATCCAGTACATAGTAATCATACAATATTTTACATAAAATTTGCAATTACTTGGTACAACGTTATCCGAAGCGGAGATATGGTGAATTTCTTTTAAAATATTGCTATGTAAAAGCTTTTAAATGATTTATGATTTTAAATTATTTATACTTATTAATCATCTTTAGGAATATTATAACCTAAATTTAGAGGACGCACACAGATTACCTTTGTGGAAAGTTCAAACAGAAATAGTTCCTTTGGAGAGACTTTCACAAGATGCTATCAAATCATGCCACAAAATAATTAGGAACAACCAAAATTGTTTGTAAATCTGAGTCAAATAAGCATTTTTTCAATACTTTATATTACAATCCGACATTGTTATAGCCTTCAAAACAGCCATAAAATAATGGTCATATATTACACTCTAAATTATTTTTGTTAAAATCACAATGATAACGATAGGCAACAAGATACCGCACAAAAAGTAATAATTTTCAACAGCTTTGTTGTTGTAAGATTTTACGCAGAAAGTGTTTAAAACTTTCAACAAAAGTAGTCACATTTATGCGTAATTTGTAGTTGTATTAAATGAAATACTTTGTTGATATAATGAACAAAAATGTTTTATAGTAAACGTTAAAACAAATTACCATATTTACTGTTCGGTTTTATACCCATAATTTCGACTTAAACGACATGTACACTAGAACTTTTTCACCGGGTTAACCTTCTTTATGAGGATTTATTTGACATATATGCAAAGGAATTGACAATTAACGAAATCCGGTTAAATGTAAACGTACTATTACAGCCATAGGTATGAAATTCATTGTCTCTCATGTTGTGTGGGTGATGTGCCTACAATTGTTTAGGTCAGTTACAATATTTTAATAGTATATACAGATATTACTTACAACTTATGGGAACCATGGAGTGTCCGATTCAATTTCACGTTTTATATCCTCTATTGTTATTCCAAACTTAAATGAGTGCTCAGATAGATTAAATTAGTACCTTAAATTCCTTATATAAGAGAAACGCAAACAAATTGTTTCTGGATCCATAAAATTTTGAAAATTATCAAATAGACAGACCTTGTGAAATATCAATGGCCAGATCTCTGAAATGACCTTGACAGTAGGAATATGTTTGGCATCATTGAAGTATGCCCTCTGTGTGGCAAAACAGCTGTACATCAATTTCATTGCCGCATCCAATTCAGATTGATGCAATTTTTTTGTGGTGGTTTGGTTTTTATGTATATGAAAATGCATATCAATATTATCAAACATCTTTTCACAAACATACATTTTTATTAATTTTTTATTTTATCCTTTTTGATGGATTAATATGTACAAAGTTTCCACGTAAATAATTGCTTCTGGACTACGCGTCACCTCGTGATTATTTCTGATGTGTGTTCCGAAAATCTTATGAATGATAAATCAGTAATGTATATAAAAATGAAATATTTTTTATTAGTAATAATAACAAAAACAAAACAAATATAGTGGTGAGTATTGAATATAATATCCTTATAATATAAAAAAATACTTGCATTGTAGATATTATGAAACGTTATCCAACATCTAAATTGCAACACTTATTACCGTCTTCATCCAAATTATAAGTAAACGGTAAATTTTCATGGAATTTGGCTGAATATTAACGAGGTATACAAAATCTTGGTCCGATCTATCAAGTTTTTCGTTACTTGCATTATAGGCCTAATCAGAGGTAATCTTCAAAAGTTCATCGAATTTGCTTGTATATTGACGATTTTATAGGGAAAAACAATGAACATTTCAAGAAAGTTTCTATGGGAGCTATACCAAATATTAGTCCGAACTATCCATTTTTTGCCACTTGTTTCCTAGGCCAAAAATAAACATTTGTACAAAATTCCATTCACCTATGATAACTCCTTCTATTTTTGACCGCTGTCTATATGAATTCGTGACATAGTTTGACGTTGTGAATGGTAAGCTGCTGTCAGTATTTGCGTGACCTGGACTTGGCAGTAGGTTTGATAATCTTTATGGGTTGTGAGATAGTTAAGCGATAAATTTTCGTTAATGTCAGACTTTGAACTGAAAAGAATAAAATGGTTTAAGAACATAGTTTGACAGATGTTGAATTCCGGTCCAATACTTTTGAAACCACGAATTTCATAACCCTGTATTAAATTTAATATGAACCAAATGGAAAAAAAACATCGTTTGATCCGATTTGATAAAAATAAATCTAAGTCAATCTCATAGGAACGAAGGGATTATGCTGATTTAGTCAACCCTTTTGCATCACAATATTAAAAATTCGGCAAAAATTTTTTTCATCCTCCTAAAATCAGAATGCCAAATTGCAGCCGCTCTAGTTGAAAACAAATTATACATAAAATAGGGAGGGGCATCAGCATACGCTGATGACTTCAAACTATTGACCAATTTTGAATATTATCTATAAAAAAGTTGATGACCCTCCAAATCGGGAATTCGAAATTACAAACATATACGGCTAAACTAAAGAAAGCAAAACCAAAATGTGGAACGGTATGTTTTCATTTTCTTTTAATTGTTATTCCAATATGGGAAAAATCTAAGGACGTGTAATTTTTTGGATTCAACGTTTCACATTGAACAATTGGTTGAGGGTAATAAATATAATCGGATATTTTTCTAACTCAATCACTTAACTAAGGTAGTAAGGTTAATATTGTTACGTAATGTAATCCAAACTCTCGGAATACCCCTAACACATTTCATTGCTAACTATAATAAAACAAAGTCAGATAAACATAAATTGATATTTTAAATTAAATTAGTGATTATCTAGAATTGCAAGGCAAATGTATACAAACAATGCAATTGTTGTTTTGGAAGTGCTATATATATAAATGGGTATAAATTTAATTACAGTTTAACATTTGGTGGCAAGCTTTATTTATAACGGATAAATGAAGAAATTATTAGAAACATGTTCAAGATTTTAATTTTATTTCTCATCTTGACGTGGCTCGAAGGATATAAATCCATCCTAATGGAGGTATGTCAAAAGTAGAATCCTTTCCTAAGTTGTTGAGAAATTGAAATGTCATTTTCAGCGCAATTTCGATATGAAATCTATAACTGTACATACATCTCGGCCAGATTTGATCTCCTTTTCCGATTGGAAGGTTGAGCGTGTTAGTCGTGGAGTGTTTGCCTTCTCTGGTATATATACTCTTAATGTAACTGTTAATGCTGGAGACTCCAACCAGGTAAGTAAACAATTTGATTAAAAGATCAAATCATCATCAACACAATTCCAGATTGAAGTCCTTACATATCGTAGCGACAATGGCGTTCGGGATTTTCGTTTATTGCCTTTTATAGTGGAACGCCAGCATGTGTATGATTATATGAATGGCTTCTATAAATTCTATGTAATGAATAGCATCAAGTCGTGTTCGACAATGCCCGTTTTCAAAGGCCGTTTTAAACCACCAATGGAAAAGAGAAGTTATGTTTTGGACAAGTGTCAAGTGAATTTGGATGATTTTCCCCAAGTGCCAGACGGATTTTATAGAGCAGCTATTCTTGGATATGGCGATGCTGTTTGGGCTGTAAATTTTACCGGACAACTGAGTGTGATGTGGTAATTTTTGCTAACTATTTATTTGTGATTGATTCAAAATAAAATTAGTTAGAAGGTATATGTCGATTTTACCGAAAGATCCATGTCTTCAATTTTATTGCACATACCTTCCCCATATTAAGATTGATGAAATTATTAATTACAACGTCTAATTCAAATTGGAATGATATTTTGTCTTTAAATTTAACATATCAGGTGAGTTTTGTTTTTTCCATAGAAATATTCTTAAACTTGATTAGAAGTAAATTTAGATTAATATTTCAGAATTGAAGAGTTGTTATTTCAGTTATAACAAAAAACAGTAAGGAGAGTTCAAAAGTAGGACGGGACAGACCATATGATACCCTTCACCACTTTGGGTGCATACAAGATTTGCTAATAAAATACAATATCCGGTAACTAGAACAGACATAGCATCTTTGGAGGCCCATTGAAATGGAATCGGACGAAATTAAATGTGTGATCTACATATATATTTGAACCATAGAAAACACATACCATTCTGGTATCTATGAAGAATTACATATCAATCGGGCAGACTTGGAAAAATTGGTGTACCATTTTTTTATGATATCGTTAATCTGGAACTAATTGAGTAACCGTGACAAGCACCATTCATCTCGCATTGGGACCTTTATTATTTGGTGCACAAATTTCATAAACTCACACGAACAAAAAATAGGGATTTTTTACATCTAAATATATATTCAATACGCGTTATGATAGCACCAATTTGATACGTTGTGCAGAAATTCATGCCAATCGGAAAAACTTTGGGTATTTATTGGGTACACCATTTAGATGAAATCGGATTGAAAAAAAATATATAAGGAAGCTATATATAATTTCAGTCCAATACTCTCTGCAATATTTCATGTAAAACGAACAATCATTAGATTCTCGGTGCACCGTTAAAAACTATATATGGGAGTTATATTTAAATCTGCACCGGTTCCAACACAACTTCACAGGCATCAAACTGGACATAATTCAGTTCGCTATGCAAAAATTGTTCTCCATCGGACAAATATTGGGAGTTTGGTGCACAATTTAAATAAAATCGGACGAAACTATATATGGGTGCTATATATAAATCTGAACCGATTTCAACAAAATTTCAAGGCATCAAACTGGATCTGCGAGTATATTTTCTACATATTTAGAAATCACTGTGGCAAATTACAGCCAATTTTATTGTAAAATGTTGATAACAGATCAAAAATACATTAAACCGGAAGGTACGATAATATGGGAACTATATCGGAGACCCCATTTTCCATACCGGTATTAGTTTTTTTTTATAAAAACCATACAAGCTATATTATGACAACCTACGCCAAGAGAATCTGAATTTATTAAAACGAAACCTTCTCCTGTAAAATTTCAAATTGAGGTTTACGTTTTTTTGGCGAATATGGCTCGATTTAATCAGAGTTTTTTGGTTTTTAAGGCAATAATATATATGACATTACCGATTGTACCTTAGAGATTTTTTATAAGTAAAAAATCGCCATAGAACTTAGCATTGCAAAATACAATTACTTGGAACCTATCAAATTATCCCCACGAAATTTCATTGGTAACTATAATATAAACAAGTCTGATAAATATATTTTTTTAATTAATTTGATGATTATCTAGAAATGTAAGTGGGGAAAAGTGTACAGTGAAATTGATAAATATTAGTAGAATACATCTACCAATAACAATTCTAAAATATCTCATTTTCATATGTATCGTCAAGTTTTAAAGTTGTTAGTTGGTCTAATTTTTTGAAATGTTCAATATATTTGTTTGATTTCTCATCATGACAATGTTAAAAGGATATAATTCCTTCCTAATAGAGGTTAGTCAAAGATAGAGTCATCTCATAATATAAAGAGACATCGAAATGTTATTTACAGCGCACTTACGACATGAACGTCATAGAAGTACATTCATCGCGGCCAGATCTTTTATCCTTTTCCGACTGGAAAATTGAACGTGTTAGTCGTGGATGAATGTTATTTAATATGACGGTGAATGATCATGACTCCAACAAGGTGAAATCGCAACTTTTTTTTAAAATACCAGAAACATATCGCAGTGATAATGGCGTGGGGGATTTTCGTCCATTGCGTTTTAAAATTGAACGTCAGCATATGTATGATTATATGAGTGGCTTCTATAAAGCCTATATAATGAATAGCATCAGGGCATGTTCGACAATGTCCGTTTTCGAAGGACGTTTCAAACCGCCATTTGAAAAGAGAACGTATGTTGTGGACAAAGAGTTTTCAATCACTCCTGGAAAAGGGGACCGAAAAGACCCCTTTAAGGAGTCGGTTGAGGATTTATTATATTATTTTATCAGTAATATTGCCGAAGACACTATATACCTAAAATGCAAGGATTTCAGGAAATCATAATTCGAACATTATCAAAATTCTTGAAAAGGGGGAATATTGGCCCGCCTTTTTTGGTTACCTCCCGACATAAACTTTCAAAACGCCGATACACGTGTCTTCTTTTTTTAGCCCCTTTTCATAATCTGTTGGAATTTCCCGGTAATTATTTTTTGTGTTGCACAGTGTAATTGTAAAAAGACAAATGCGTACAAACAAGGTCATTGATAAAGATTAATGAGATATATCTGACAATGTCAACTGTATAAATAAACACAGTTGCATGTGTATTGGATCTCTAAAATCATTATTTACCGCCCCACATGCTCTGTTTGTTCCTTTTGTCCATGATCTGAGGCTTTGTTTTATTGTGCTTACCAAGGGAATATTCGTTTCTGGATTTTCAGGTTCACTTTCTGTTTCATCTTCAGCATTTTCTTCTTCGTTTATGATAGCATTATCTATATTTTCTGGAACTGGGCTCGTTTCATCTATTTCAATTCCTTCTTTTCCTTCATTTGATATTGGAATATTATTGGTCTCAAATTTATAAAATCTACAGTCATTTTGAAATTCTTCATCAATTTTTTTTCTAAGAATTTTACACTTCTGTTCTTGTAAATCTTGTTACTTCTTTTTTTCCATAAACGACATGCCTTCGAATTTTCATCATAACCTACCATTATATGTTGCTCACTTCTTGACCATTCGCTACGCACCCAATTTTTCGTAAATGAGATACAGTTGGAGTTTTTCCTGACCAAAGTTCTTCCGGTGTTTTATTCATATTTAGTTTTGTTGGACATCGATTTCGAATGTATGCTGCAGTGAGAACCAACTCACCCCATAAATTTTCCGGTAAATTGGCCTCCAGCATAAAACATCTCACCATTTCCCCCAGAGTTCTATTCATTCTCTCCGCAACACCATTTTGTTGGGGAGTGTATTCAACAGTTAGTTGGCGTTTAATTCCACATTTTCGAAGATATGCCTAGAACTCATGACTCGCTAATTGTGGAGCATTGTCACTTCGTAAACATTTTATCTTCTTTCCAGTTTCCAATTCCACTCTTGCTTTAAACTCCTTAAATACCTCTAAATAGTCGCTTTTCTTGCATAAGAATTAAACAGAAACTTTTCGAGAAAAATCATCAATAAAGGTAGCAAAATATAAATTTCCTTCTAATGATGGATTTCGCTTAGGCCCACAAAGATCCGTATGAATCATGCCCAATATTTCTTTTTCCGATTTGCTGATTTTCTTTGGAAAAGCCCGTGTTTGTTTAGTTGTGATGCACACATTGCAATTTGCATCCAAAGAGTGAATTTTAGGCAATCCGTGCACTATATCCACCGTGTATAATTTAATCAAATCGTTGTAATTCAGATGACCAAAACGTTTATGCCAAATTTCGCATGGTGTGTTCGATTCTGCAGTTTTCGTACATTTCGGGTTATTTGGTACCGCCGTCATCATATATAATCCATTCTCCCTTATTGCTTCCATGTATATTTTATTATTTTTAAGTACATACACTACTTTACTACCGTAATCATTGTTTAGTTCCATAAATAGAGATTTATCGACGCACATATGAGATGTAGCCCCACTGTCAAAACACCATTTAGAGGGGCGTTGTCTATTTTCCGCAGCATTTTCTTTACATCCATTTGCCCTATCAGTTTTTTCACAAACCGTTTTTGTAGAATGATTGGATTCATTAAGTTTAACTTTGCAATCCTTCGCTATATGGCCTTTTTTACCACATCTATGACAATTAAATGGAAATCGTTTGTCTGGCATACCTGAATCAGATCTAAAATGTTTCTTCTTTTTTTAATTGGAGCTCTGCGCCCTCATTGAATTTTCGGCATCTTCATCACTCTTTTCACACCCAACTTCTAGTAATTGGGACCTTAACACATTGAGCGATGGCAACTCATTCGCAGTATCAAAAGCGGCACGAATTTCTTTAAACTTTTCGGATAAACCATCCAGCAAAATTACAGACAAAAAACTTTCATCAATTTTAACATCCATTTCCAACAGACTCGAAACACATATGTCATATTCAATGAGATACTCGGACAGACTTTGAACAGGGGACATTTTCAAATTAAGCAACTTTCGAAACATTTCGATTTTACTTTCTGTCGTATGTTTCTTGAACATTTTTCCAAATTTCACGAGCAGTTTTAAAATTTCTTACCATTCTTACTATATTTGATATCAGCGAAATACAGTAGATATCGGATATAAGCACATCTCATATAAGAAAAAATCGCATATAAGAAAGATTATCAAAAACACCGCGCCTTTTTACATCTCATCAGTGCTTAAACAATTTCTACCTGCTTCATATAAGAAAAACACTGATATAAGAAATGTTTGTCAAACAGCAAAGCTGACAAAGGTATTAGAAAACGTTTCACATAAGCAAATATGTAAGATTGTTGGCCAATTTATTAACATTAAAAATGTTTTAAAAATAAAATACTTTTTAATTTTATTTGAAAGAATATTATTTATATGAATAGAAACATATGCAACTATTTTTAGTCAAACTGTGAACTGATTTTAATTTAGTAGTTTTGTACTTTTATATGCGTATGTACGCAT